AACATTGCACTTTTCTTTGCTGTGGGTCCTACTAAGCAGTGCATGAAGCCATATCTAAAGCTGCACTCCAAGCTGAGCACACTGCCAGCAGCCCCAGAGACATTTAAGGCTCTTTTCCTGCCTTACACTACATCAGCTCCAGAACAGTGCATGTTTCTAGAAGAACCCCTGGTCCAAACCATACCACAGTCCCTGATTTTCCAATTGTTTTGGTGTTTGGGCTGCTGAGGGTGAGCAAAGTGTGTGATAAGACACACTGGAACATCTGACATGAAGCCCATCTCCGATTCTTTCAAAACAAATAGCATGCAAAAAAGGAGCAGGTTTTAACCAGCCTTGGTTTGCAGCCAACATGGGCACATGGTTAGCTTTAGCAGGACTGGACAGCATATGGCACAGCGACCTGGCTTGTTGTGAATAATGGAGTATAATAAAACCTGTCAAACTGCTATTGGCAGCTAGGGTGAGGAAAAGTCTCAGTGCACAGACAGTTTGAGAAAACCTACTTGTCACTGCCATGTAAAATATTTTATGGCAATAAATATACATCATAAAGTGCCTCTCAGCCCTGAGTGTTTTCTCCTCAGTCCCTGAAGTTCTACAGGAGTCCAGCACAACTGTGAGGATAGAAAAGTGGGGAATGCGAACAGCTGGGAGGAACAAAAAACAGGTGCACAACAAGGTGAAGAAGATAAAGAGCCAAGGTCCAGAAGTAAAAACAGCAGGAGGAGTTAGAAGGGGTAGTAGGAAGACAGAGGAGTGTCATGGCCACCAGCAGGTGTGTTGGCTGAGAAACACGAGGGGGCTGCCTGTTGGCCCGATGGCAGAGGAGGAAATGGTGTGTACTCAAGGCAGGCAAAGGGAGGAGGAGGCAGGGTCCTGTTGGAGAGGGCAGCACTGTCTGGCTCTGGGTTGGAGGATGACTTTGTCGCTGATGTGAGGACTGAATTTGGTGTGCTAAAGCTTCAAGGCAAGGAATCAACAGGGGAATTTCTTTGTTGTTCCATCCACACAGCCAGCAGGGAAATGTGGGATGGGGAAAATGCAGCTCTTTACCTATAAAAGTTCAGCCAGTGCCTGGCCCCCGCAGCATCTCTGCAGAGCACATGGGGCCATGAACTAGGCTTGCAAGGGCAAATCCAGCTGACATGCAAGGACTCCAAGCCCCAGTTCCATCCCTGGCCTTGGAGGACTGAACAGAATTCTGCCAGAGCAATGCAGGTCAGAATTAACCTCAAATTTTCGTGTCTTGAGTCATCAGTCTGAGCTTAATTTTAGGCTGCATCTCTGGAGAAAAGTGAGTTGCAAGGTTTAAGGGCAGCTCAGCCTGGGCTTTTTTGTGCCCTGCAGTGCTGTTCTCGCTCTGGCCTTGGATTTGTCTGGTTTCTGGAATTGTCCTGCTCTGTGAGAACATAAGGGGGAAGTAGAAGCACTGCTTAGTCACATCCTGCTATTTCAAGCATCAGTCTTGTTTTTGGTTTATTGTTTTTGGTTTTTTTTTAAGAAAACACTGAAAGTACTTCCCTTATAGACTTAAATGCCTTAAAGTATTGCTACTGCTGCTTGGGTTGCCCTGTTTGTAGTATCAATGGCCTGCCTTAGTTGCACTAAATGCACTTACATGGGAGCAATAGCAACAATCTGGAATTCAGAAAGTCTACAAACAGGCAGGCCTGTTTTAATTAGTTGAGTACAGAGACTAATTAATATGCAAATGAGGAGCTTACCAATATTAATCATCTGTTTTACTAGGCTGCTTTACTGAAGAGTTTCTAACGAATTTGCAGATGAAGTTTCCATGACATTAAAAATCAGCTAAACACCTACCTGAGAAATAGACTCCCACAATAATGGGGAAAGAGAGAAGGGGAGAGTGATGCTTTGGTTTTTTGGAAGGAAAATATCAATGACTGAAACTAATTTTGTCTTTGGCAAGTGTCATATAGGCTGACTGAGTCAACCGCTTCCAAACCCTAATTGAAAGCATTTCAGCAAGTGAGACACCAAAAGGCGCTTGGACAGTAGCAGCACACACATGTCTATGTGTGCATTTTTCCTTCTGAGAATTGACTAAAAATTGCATGATTGACTAGAAAATTGTATGAATGACTAAGAAATTACCGTCTACCTTTGACATCTCTCAATAGCTGTCAATACTGTGGAGCATAACCCCCAAGTAAGATCACATCACACTGGGTTGTACCTTCCGTGTATTTTCTTATCTCCATTCCTGTTACCAATGCCTTAGAACACCGTAACTGAAATCCTCCCCCTGAGCTACACCACTCTTTCCTCTGTTAGCTTTATATTTTGCACTTCACTGAGCTTCTGGGTGGGTTTGGTGGAGCTTCTTGTCAAATTTGCTCTCTGATTTTCATACTTTAGTTCAATGCAATTGCATATGGGCTCTCCTCACTGCCCCAGGGAATGCAGAAATCAAATAAAGTATGTTTTCATCTCTAACAAATCTGTCAAAGCATTCTGTACCTCCTGGTTTTCTTTTCATATACCTTTACCCTTGTGTTTCCTCTATTGAAAGCAGAACCTAAATTCTTGGTGTGATGTGCCCCTTTAAATAGCTGAAAATATGAGAATGAGATTTGCAAATCTCTTCTTGAGTCACAGGTGAGACCAAAAATCCGCCAGCAAGATACTTCAAAAAAATTAAAGACAGCCTTAAAAATGAATCCAAATCTATTGGCTGATCTTCAGGGCCAGTGAATGGAGCTTGGTGGGTGGTTTGGATTAAAGAGGTTCTTGAGGTTGCAGAGCTAGGAAATGGAAATAGCTCAGCAGCACCTGCCATCACTCCTGAGATAGGCTTCTCCCTCCCAGCTGAAAACATGGAAGATGTACATTTCATTTATTCAGAAACAAGACTTGGGCTGAAGCTGCCCTTGCACTCCACTCACCTGCACTGAAGCCACAGCCAGGGATATGTTTCCTTCCTGAACTGGGGATACTGACATGAGAAGAATGCCCCATCCTGACTCCCAGCAGCTCCTGAAAATTCCTGCTGCTGCTAGCTGGTAACCAGTTTTCCTGTAGCTGTCTGTAACATGGAAAATTGCTTTAATTTCAGTTTTTGCATTTAATGTAGGGAGCATTTCTCATTCTTCATCCTATCACCAACTCTTTTTCTCACTCCTTCCATTACGCTTTCAGCACATGACCTCAGGAGCTCTTGATGCAGGAGAGTAGGTGCCAGGAGAGCACTGCAAGTGGAGGTTCCATGGAGGTGTTGGCAGGACCTTGTTAGGGACAGGACAGGGGCAAAGGAGAAAGGATGGGCTATGAGTGTATTTCTGAAGGATTTTGTTTTGTCCTGGAGTAAAGAAGGAAAGCAAAGATGGGGAAGTGAGGAGTGGGAGAAATCACGTTAGTGTGGGAGGGTCTACAGGCTTTAAATCCACCTCAGAATTAGGATTTAATACCAATTACCCCACCATTGTTTGTGCTTGAGCTCCAAAAGTACCCATTGTCTTAACGACCCCAAATCTGGCTTTCATGGAAAGAACTGTGCACACCATGGAAAGAGATATGCTCTTGAAACAAGAATGGTTCAGATCCTTTAAAGGGGCTGGGGTATTAGGCAGGTACATATCCCCAACCTGGACCCCATCCTCATGCTCCCACACACCTCCCACATGCATGAAAGTCTGAGCTTCATTCCTTCAGGAGTTTGTGGCATATCCCATCCCATCTCCCTGGATGTGCTCCCAATTCTCCCTGCCTTCTGCCCTCCAGAGCTGGAAACACCAATCCTGCCACTCACATGTCCTGAGTCTTAGCTGGGGATGGAGCAAACATAGAGACACAGGGCTGGCAACTGTGTTGGTTCAGGGTCCTCTTCTCCATGCGTGGTGCCTCTTCATGCACTTCAGCCTCAGTACTGAGGTGATAGAAGTGTTTCCTTCTACAGAACTGCTGAATGGCTTGGACTCATCTTTCCGAGAGAAATTCACCAGCAGACTGCAGCCTCCAGAACAAACATTTTAGAAAGTTATGAGTGACTGAAGATTAGTGAACAGAACAAACTGTTTAGCTGACTTTAGCCATACCTGTCCCTAGCACAACACCCACATAAGCAGGTGGAAAGGAGGTGAGTGCAGGAGTTGGAGAGGTGTGATAAATACAACTAAGTAGTTGAAAAAGCAAGAGCTATCATTTTGCTGATACAAGCAGTTTAAAGTAGTGGTTTAAAGTAGTAGAATTTAGCATCTGTGAAATGAGCTCTTTCCATGTTTAAAGCTAATAGTACTACTCTCATGGGGGGAAAAGACACTATTGATTGGAGAGAATTCTAATGAGAAATGTTTTTTCTCAGTAGTAGCATGCAAATAAGAACAGAGTGCTAGAGTTTGGTAATGGAAGGATTAAATCATGTAGAAACTGACTGAGAAAAAAGCAGAAAGCATGACTTTTTTTCCCCTTTTCCATGGAAAGGTAAATGGAATTGAATGGGATTAAAAATCCAGGCAGGATGTTTCAGGCCATTTTATACAAGAAACCTCCACTGTGCCATTGGCCAAACTTCTGAGATCATTTTGTTTTGGGGAACTTTTAGGAAAATTTACAGGCTTTTATATTATGTCATTGTTTTTACAGCATATTAAAAGTTTCAGGGGAAAATGAGCAGTCTTCCTGCTCTTTGAAGGGAGCATAAGGACTAGAGAAAAGACAGAAAGAAAAGAACAAATTTGGATAAACAGAAGCAGTGGAATGTCTCATCTCTGATACAGAATCCCATAAAAAAGACTACTGACATTGTCTTTCCAAGCCCTGATGCCCTATCTCTGTATAATCCCTTCAAAGTAGTGTAAACCTCAGTGATTATTAATATATTTTTGGTTGTTTATATGAACCTTGAGGGGGAAAGGAAGCTTCTGCCATTTTAATTCCTTTGTTAATGTCTTTATGAATGCAATTAGCACTTCATTCACGCTTCTTTGTTTCTGGATCCCATTACGATATGGCTTATGCCAACTTCTCTCTCCCAGGAGAGGTGAGGCATCATGCAGCAATCCACTCAGCTGCGTGGCTGAGCACTGACAAACTCAATTTACTGGAGGAGAGCATGAGATGACATAGTGCAGTCGCTGCTGCTGTGATATGGACAAATGGCCTCTTTTGTTCCAAGCAAGACGTCACCTGTCCTGAGGAAGTGCATCTGTGCATAGGTAAGTGGAAGAAAAACAAGGCTGATTTACTTGACAAGAAATTAACCTACTGCAGCTGGTTGTAAAATGGAAGTATCTAATTATTTAGTCCCTTTTTTACAATTGGACCATGCCTATTCAAATTCCCGTTCAGTTGTTTTTAATTTCTAAACGTGATACTAAAGTCATCCCTTTTATAACACCATCAGCCTCTAGAGTCCTAAACCAGGGATGGATTTGACCCCTCAGTTTTTTTCCTGACTCCTCCAACAGGCTTTGATGTGAGATCAATGCTCCAAGCTGCAGAGCAGCTGAGGTTGCATAGCTGGACTCGTAGAATCATAGAACCATATGAAGCAATCGTGAGTTGGAAGGATCCCACAAGGATCTCACTGACTCTAACTTAACAAAGCTGTGCCTTTGCATTACCAGAAGCTTGGGTTCATTTGGGGCTGATCCTGTCCTTGGTGTGCATCAGGGGAGGTTAAGAGGAAGCCAAATGAGATAAGTGGGCTTGTAGTGGTGTAAAGATGAAGCCAGAAGGAGCTGAATCTGTCACTCTTTGAGGGCAGCTCTCTAGCGCTACATGGGCATTTACAGATGCAGGGACTGTGAGCATCAGGAGCTTGGGCAGCACCTCTGGGCAGTGAGGAGCCTGTGTGTTTCTAAATATCCCACCAAGTACCAATGCACACCTAAATACTCTTGGAAATGCTGTTCAGGACTTCTCTGAGGCAAGGAGGCAGCCCTGATTCAGGAGTGTGTTAACTGAGCACAGCCAAGGAAATCCAGAGAGATTTGAGCCTGGGAGCCCAGCAATGCTCCCAGCTGCAGTCTGATGAAATTTTTGCCACCTCCATCAGGGAGAGGATTGAGATAGGTGCAGTTTACCCACAGGATTGATTCTTTAAAATGACTACAATATCCCATGAAGGGTGAAGAGTGTCTCTCCCCAGACAGGGATGAAGGCAGTGAAGACATAAGCTATACCTCCTACCAAAAATTTCTGGGGAGGCAGACAGGGAAATGCTGGTTTACAGTGTTGTAGACTCTTTCTCCCTCCTTTTATGTTGATCCCATGCCCTCTTTACCATACCCAGTGCAACCTGGCATACAAAGCATATCAGCAGACACTGAAGTCCAGACACTCCCTGTGGGCTCCAGGTCCCCTTTTACACTGCCCCCACATCCCCAAACAACCTACTGCCAGGTAAAAGGGATTGTTGTTTCCATCACAAGACAGAAGGGAGGGAAAAACTGCATCTGAAAGCCCAAGGAAAAGAGACAGGAATTCTTTATCGCTTATTAAATGTGCAATTCAAAACCCGGTGAATAGGGAGATGAAAAGCTCCTGCTGAGAAATGGAGAGAGAAATTGCATTTTGGCCTTGGGGAAACCTGTGCCTATAATATTAAAGATGTGCAAATAAATAAATAAAGGCAATAGCTCGATTTACGTGTCTAATATTCTTGCAAGCCGTGATCAATGTCGATATTTTACTTTTTTATGAGGTTCTCCAAAAATCTATGGCGCTTTCCTTTATTAATTGTTATCCTCATTGCAAAGGTCTTTCACATGTCTCCAGCAACTAGGTCTTAGCTGTCAACTCCATTAAATTCTATTATAATGTGGCATGATTGAATGCTCCAGTGGGATTGGCCAGCCAGTGTGTATTAATATATTATGGAGCATGCAGAGGCAGGCACCAGCACCTTACTGCATTCACAAAGATGCTGTTGTGTTTACATTTTTTTCTCCTCTCTGTGCACGTCTGCTGTTTCAGTGGAAACTGGCTTTACCATAAATTATCCCTTGCAAAAAGAACAATGTAAACTGTGAGGGAGCTTTCCCTGGGATGTGGAAGCCAGCGGTCTTCCCTCAAGTGAGCAGATTCTCATTCTCTGCCTAAGATGTATTTGTACGACTTTAATTAGTTTGTGTTTGTACAGCATGAAAATCTAGGAGGCCCATGTTATTTAACATTAGGGAATATTGAAGAGCAGAGGATTTCCCACCCTGCTGGTTATAAGCAGGGATGTTATGCTGCTGGGAGGGAGCAGAATCAGGATTCAAATAGGCATGATCATGGATTTTTTTTTTAAACGAAGGAGTTTGGCAGATCACTAATAAGCACAGTTTAAGACTTGTGCCTTTTGGGGGTGGTGCATGCTCACTGGATAGGATGTCACCTGCAATGACACCCCTTGGACAACTTAATACCACTCTCAGTGCCTATCTTCAGCCTGAACTGAGCGACCCAAATTGGGCACCTTGTGCTTCTACCAGGAAGGCAAAAAAGCAAAGGAAGACCACAGGCTTCAACTAAAAGTCAGTTTAATTCAAAACTGGGGAAAAGTACATGCATATCCAGCTCTCAAATCTTTGTTTGTCCAGAGGTGCTCTGATCTGATGCATTTCATAGTTATCAACATTAAGTGAGCACTTCAGGATCTCTGGAGAACTCTGATGGGTCACCATCCTCTCAGCCCATCACAGCCATGCTCATTGTTGCTATCATCTCCCTTTGCCTGTGTTTATATTTGCCATTTCCAAAGCCCTGTCTACTACCATGAACAGGAACATGGCCAGGCAGCAGCTGCCCCAGCACTGTAATGGGTGAGCTTTGATGAGCAATAAAGCCTTGGCTGCAGCCAGACAACAGAAGATGTGACCTGATTGCCTTTTGGGGGCCGTGCTGAGGTCAAATCAAGCACAAATTTGTGTTGGACCAGGCAGAATATGGCTGTCAGTGAATGAGACAGGGTGTACCTGTGTGGTGCACTATAGGCAAACTTTGTGAAATCCTTGGATTATTGAGGGGTGTCTGCCACAATGGGATTGTTTCAAATGCAGCAGTATCCTTCTCCTCCCCTGATTCATGCAGCTTCATATTGTACACTGTGTGGTTTTAGTTCCCGTGCTCCTGACACACTAATTGCCACGGTCAGAGATGTTGCCATGCCCAACTCAATCTGCTTTTAAAGACAATAAACTCACCTAATTCCATAATTCATCCTTAGGATCACACTTCACTTGCTTCCAAACATAAAATAATAAATAGATTGATCTCTTACAAAAAGAGCTGAAGATGGTCTAGTGTTAGGGACTGAGGCCAGGGAGAAAAAGATACTGCTCATACTAATAAACTGTAATTCTTTTCCCAGAATACCTGGGAAATTGCCTTTAGTCAATTCAAAAGACTAACCAATTTAGAAGAATAAAAATAACCATTATGGTTACAACAGTGACTGGGGGGGATTAAAAAAGGTAAAAATTCAAACCTTTCAGAGAAGCAGAAGGGGAAAGGGAAGCTTCTCCCAAAGATGTGGTTTACTTTTGTGCCTGTGCCATGCAGAAAGGAAAACAAGTCTGCTTTGTTCCTCCTCGAGCCAAGTCAAAGGGTGACGATGTAAAACAGAAGCGCAGGCTACGTTTTCCTGGATCCAAGGAAGATGTAAATGCGTAAAATGTGATGGAAGAGCTTTGATTTTTATTCTTTCTTTTATTCTTTTTTTTCCCCCTTTTTAAAATTTTTTTTATTATTTCTCTCAGGAATGGTCTGACAGCCCCAGGCTGGAGTATGTGTCTCTTCCAACTATTCTGTCACCCAGGTAACCATGGAGACCATGACGATCGATTAGATGCCATCTGATCTCAACCTCATAAAAAAAGCCCCACGTGCACCCGCGCGCGCGCATACGCGCACGCACTCACACAAAAAACAACCCAGGCAGCAGATGGCAACCAGGCCACTAGACCTGTCTCCAGAGAGAGCAAGCCGGGGAGAGGGACTGAGAGACACAGGCAGAGGGAGATCATGAGGGAACAGGGTAAAAAAAACAAAGACAGAAAAAGTGGGGAGGAGGGAGACAAAGAAGTGAAGAGATCAGGAGAAAGAAAGGAAAGAGGGAGAGGTGAAAAGAGGGTCCGCAGCTGCTGTGATTTCTGGGGGACTGCCTTGGGTGGAGCAGCAATCATTTACACTGCCTGCAAGTCTGTCTTATTTTGAGGGTGGAGATTGATGCTGAGAGAGATCAAGGATTAGAAGTATAAAAACACCAGGTCAAATCCAAGGGAAAGCCCACGGAAGTACGGTAAATGCGCCTTTGCGCACTTCTGCCCCTGCAACAGCTGACCCCTCCTCGCAGTCAGTCAGGCCAAACAAGGTCTCACTGTAAGGATGTGAGAAGGGCTCTAAACAGAAATCAGAGCTTCTCACCCCTCCCCAGGCCAGGGTGGGTACAATTTGAGAACTCCAGCACCAGCTCCATGCCACCAAGAAGATTGCAGCTACCCTCTGGACATCCTATGGGGATGTGAGAGATGGAGCCAGAGGAGCTGCCTCACCTGCAGCTTACCTCTGAGGATCTCTGCCTTGTCTGGACACTCTCACTAGCCTGGAGGTGACTGGCAGAAGCAAAGGTGCTGAAATCCTTCACAGCAGGAACTCCTGTGTCTGTACTGCACTTACAAAAACTGGGTTTCTCCAAGGCCCCTGTGGAAATGCCAAATAACCGAAGAAATCACAGAGAGGTCTTGGAATTTTAGGACAGAGGATTCAGTTAAGATCCCAACAGTATCTCAAAAAAAAAAAAAAAAAAAAAAAAAAAANGCAAAGGTGCTGAAATCCTTCACAGCAGGAACTCCTGTGTCTGTACTGCACTTACAAAAACTGGGTTTCTCCAAGGCCCCTGTGGAAATGCCAAAAAACCGAAAAAAAAAAAAAAAAATCTTGAAATTTTAAAAAAAAAAAAAAAAAAAAAAAAAAAAAAGTATATAAAAAAAAAAAAAAAAAAAAAAAAAAAAGGTGTTTGTACCATCAGTTTGGTAGGGAGATACCAAAATGAGACAGGTTAGAGCCTCTCTAACCTGTGTCCATTTTTTCTGCTGCTGTCAGTTGTAGAAGAAATAGAAATTCTTTTTCAGTATGAACTGATTTGAAAATGAATACGCCCAGTGTGGAGGTGCAAGGTGCAGAATCTCAGCTCAGGAGAAAGCCAGACCTATGTACCTGATTTGCATGGGCCTCTTTTGGAAGCTGGGGGTGGGATTTATGCAATCAGTGCTGAGCATCTCCAGTCATCAGTCTGAACTACTCTTACTGGGGAGAATCAGTGCTGAGCATCTCCAGTCATCAGTCTGAACTACTCTTACTGGGGAGAAACAGGTCCTTCTGGTGAGTATTTCACCTCCCTCTACCACCAACATCCAAAATAGGCAAGATATGTCACATCACCATTGTGTCTTCTCCAGTGAGTGTAAAGGGAGCTGGGAGGAACTATCTCAGATGAAGTGGGGACATAAGAAGTTAACAGAGAAAAATCCCACTCCAGGTGTGTCAATAGCACCAAGACTCCTGCTAAATAGCTCATCTTTATCCCTTCTATTATTCTTTTACAGACACACATGAATTCACATCTCAGCAAATGGGAGTTGGTCCCTAGGGATCCCTTCCCAGGATGCTTGTCAAGAACAGAGAGGATGATACTTTCATTCTGAGGACATTGTCAGGTGAGGAAAATGGCTCATTTTCAAAACATGGGGACTCAGGTGACCTTGCAAATTGCTCTCAGGAACAGTGGACAACTTGAAAATTTGGTAACTGCCAGCACCTGAAGTTAACCATATCTAGTTTAAATAGCGAAATGACAATCATCCTTTCCTAAATATGGTACACGTCTGATGTTGGAGGAGGCAGGAAAAGGGCAGGGGACTGATGATTGTCTGAAGTGGGGCTTTCTATAGACCAGCTCTCAAGAAGGTGTTAATCTGCATCTACTTTAAGTAGTGGGTAGAGAGGACCAGATCTGTATTCATGCTCCATAAAGATTAGTCATATGTATGATCTCTCTTTCCTGGAGTTTTGTAGAGCATTCAAAACAGGATATTGACCACACTGATATCTAACGTTACTTCATAGATTGACCTTTACTCTAGTTGACACAACAGTCCAAACTTAATTGAAGAAAAATAGCCATGAGCATTAGCAAATTCAGAGAATTGTTCTGCAAATCCTGAAGATGGCCTGGAGCCCAAATCCTTATTTTCAGAAATGTCAGATTTCCTGGTTTCTTCTCCAAATAAGTCCTTTTAAAAGAAAGGTTTATTTACCTATCCGCAAGGAAGCATAGAAAGGAAGCAAATCAGAAAGCCAAGAAGATGCTGGCGATGGTGAACTACAGCTCTGAAAGTATTTTTTTTCCTAGATGCCTTCAAGGAAGATGAAGGCACAAAGTCATCTCCTATTCTCAGCCACCCCTGTGAGAATTCACACGGAATATTTCTATAACAATAAAGTTGCTCTGATTTGCAATGAAGGAACTGAAAAGGCAACATAACAAAAGTCATCTCATAGCAGTCTGAGAAGGTCTAATGTAATCCCCCTGACCACACTAGTTATTCCCCTGAACCTTAGTCATTCACCAGGAGTGTACTGCATCTCTCTGAGTGTAAGGCAGTGACACTGGATTAGTGTCACTAGCTGAGGGACAAAATTGCCCCAAGAAGGCTAAGAGTCCATCTATCATGTGTGTGATTGTTGAAATTAACAGAAACAGGATCACACAGGCAGAAAGAGCTGAGTTCCAGGCCTGTTCGAGCAGTATCATGTCTAAAGGTAAGTATAGTTTCAGATAAAATTTGTTCTATTTACTCAATTAAAAGCAGAATGTTCTATGACCTTATATGACCAGAATGATAACCCTCCTAAATATTAGTGTCTCTGTCTACATTTCAGTCTTCCTGTTCTCCTGCAAGAGTTTGAATAGTGTTTGGTGTTTAAACAAGTTTGGTACTCATGGCCAGCTCCCATGACATTTTTTCTAGGATAAGTCCAAAACCTGTGACAGAATTGATGGATCTGGTTCTGTTAAGAGTCCACCAGGAGCTCATATCAAACTTCCTAGCTTTCCACTACCTCTCCCATATTGTGTCAACTGATGTACCTTAAGAGAAGTACCATGGCTTTACTGACATTAATCGTACAGTAAGAGATGCGGAAGGGCTCCTCACCAGCAGCAAGGATAGATGTAAAACATAAATAGGAAGCGTAGCATCAGGTTGGGTATAAGCTGGCAAGGTGCAGTATGTTCAAACATTTGCTAATTACCAATGCATCTATCTCCCAGCAGAACTGGGTATTTGTTATGCTGGAGGGCAGCATTATTACTGTAGTGTTTTCTCACTGGGAAATCACAGTGAGAGGTGGCAACATGTGATACGGCATTTTTAAAGCAAATTATCCTGAATCTCACTTGATTTGTGAACAAATATGAAAACTGGCTCAATTCCACCTCAGAGATTTTGCAAGAGGAACAGGAACTGGGCAGTGGGCTGAATTTGGTCTGTTGGGTAGACAGGGTTTTGCTTGACAGTTTCTCCTGCCTGCCAAAAGATTACTGAGGTGCCCTGTTTGGAGCAAATCACCAGAGCATTACCCAGGGAATTTTCTGAAATACACGGTAATGGAAATCAATATCCCATAATGCAGTTACACAGGAGTACAAGAAAACTGGCATGTCTGGTGTCTGAGAGAAATTCTGAGTAGTTGATTTGTCTGTTTTGGCTAAATTGCTTTGGATTATATGATCATATCCATAGGAACAGAGAACAGAATATCTTGGTTTGGGTGACCATAGTTAAGTTCCCTAAAATAAAGACACACTGAAACAAATAGGGCCTTATCTTCAGAGCTCCTGTACATCCATAAATTCTCTAGCCTTAGCTGCTGTGGGAGATAAATGACACTTTTATTTAGATATTAAGATCTGAGATTAATTTTATTCACTCAGATATAAAAATATGAGCCACTTTGCTTGGATAGGTAATTAACAGTGCTTGTGAGGATTCTTCTTGAAATGACACTCATTATGGCCTTCATCAAACAGAGCACTCTGTTATTGCTCTTTAGATAATATTTTCTCATTGGTTAAACTGGGAAAGGTAGCAGATTTCTCTCACAAGAAAGTACTTCCCTACAGCCTGTTATCACCTGCCCTCATTTCCAAGAGTTCTAGCAGCCAGCCAAGACATAAGCCTTCTCCTCCCTTCAATGGAGGTAGTATAACTTCCACTTTTTTTTCTTTTTTCTTTTTTCTTTTTTCTTTTTTCTTTTTTCTTTTTTCTTTTTTCTTTTTTCTTTTTTCTTTTTTCTTTTTTCTTTTTTCTTTTTTCTTTTTTCTTTTTTCTTTTTTCTTTTTTCTTTTTTCTTTTTTCTTTTTTCTTTTTTCTTTTTTTTTCCATTTCAGCTGAACTCAATGTTTTGCCATAAATTTGCATCCTGATCTTACAGCTCATTTTCTGTTTGCACATTTAGCCCACCTGCCTCAAGAGACTGAGGCCCACTCCAGCCTCTCCAATGCCAAGAACCACTGGCATATTCAAATTTCTCAGAGCTTTTCTAAGTCTTCAGGGCAAGAAAAGTATTATTACTTCATCCTCTGGCTCTCAAACTCAAAAGCATTGCTTCACTAAGGAGTACAAGCACAGATACAATTTAAACATCTCCAAAAGGGCTTTTTTGCCTAGTGAACTAATTGTAAATGCCTGACTTACACAGACACAAGAGCAAACTACAAGGAGAAACTGAAGAACAGTAGAAATAACCCTAAATTTGGGAAGAACAGTTCTATTTTGAGGAAGGAGCATGGGACAAGCAGCTCTTAGGAGCAACCAGTGGGGAGCAGAGACAGTGATTATTCACAAGAGAAAGGAAAGTATTGTGGGACTACATTAAGAAGCAAAACAAGAAGGCATATAGGACATAGCAGAAGGAAAATGTTATCTGGACCTGTAAAGACAGAGGCTGCCAGCGAGCCTGTGGCCACTCCAACAGGCCTGAATCACAATGTGTGAAAGAGTGGTGAGCACAGTCTGATGCCAGTGAAGGACTCTGCTGGCCCATACAGCTTGGTGGCACAGTGTCATTCATGAGAAGTGTAATAACCCATTAGATTCCTGGGAAAACCATTTTCTGCTATTGCTTCCTGAAAGAAAATTGTCACATGGAATGGAATGGAATGGAATGGAATGGAATGGAATGGAATGGAATGGAATGGTACTAAAATGCTTCTAAGTGTCTGAGGGATGCCACAGGTTGATGCAGCTCAAACAGTGGCAAATCAGACAAGCTGTAGAACATGCATATCCTCTGTGAGTCTGACACAGGGTAAAGAGCTGGAAAAGGTCTCCTGAAGCACCTTCTGAGCATATGAGGGCTGCTGGTAGATGGAGAAGCCTTCCATGGGACACAGAAATCCTGTGACTACAGTATTTAAAACTGGGCAAAACAATAAGAGTGGTACAATCCTTTATATGCATATTACAGAAGAAAAAGGGAGCAGACAGGACCTCATAAATCTTTTCCATCTCTAGTTTTATAAACCCATTTTCTATTTCATTTTATCTTATGCCTGCATGTCATATTCATAAGGAACTCAGCAGAAGGGTGACCCTACCAATATTTGCAAGAAGTCACACCTATGTCTGGTGTAAAACATAAAGACACCTGTGCTAGTAATAGTGTGCAATGGGGGCTCTGAGGACACCCAAGCTCTGGGCTGGAAGAAGTGGGACTTGGTAAAACCATTATTAGTGAGAGTCTTCAGCCCAAACTGTCCTTCTGAAAGGTGGAGGGCAACAAATGCTGGAGCCTGAGTTTTGCTTCTGGGCCTGGATGGTTTTGTGCCTTTGCTAATAAAGCTATTTAGACTTCTTTAGGTCTCTGTACTTGCTCATGCACCCTGTTTTTACTACAGAAGGCCTTGGGCTAAAGAGCAATAGAGCTACTCACTCTCAGCTTCTCAGGATGAGGTCAATTCACCAATTTCAAGCAATAGGTTTGTCTTCCTATTGACTGGCCACAACTATTGAGATCAGCCTTGAAACTTGCCTTTAGAACCTAACTTTTCAATACCAGAAGTCCTAAGTTTTGTTTCCATCTGAAGTCAAAAATCATGCAGAATTCCTAAGTGTGAATAATTTACACTGGGGGATGGTGTGGCAACCACTTAGATTAACACACTCAAATAAGTTCAACACCCTTAAGGATGCTCAAAACTCAACATGACCTGATCTTACTGCTAAGAATATCTTTTATTTTTGCATTCTTTCCTTTTTTTTTTCAGCAATTTTTCCTTCCTCTTTTCCTACACCTTTCTTCTTTCCTTCCTTTTCATACCTTTTCTTACCATTTGCCTCTTTGCAGTACAATCTCCTCTCCTTAGTACAAAGCTCTATACAGAGCAGGATTCATACAAGGTAACTTAGAATGGACCATCATGGCTACCAGGCCTATTTCAGACAGTGCTTAGCCCAACAACTCTCTTCCTCATGCAGCTTTCTGTCAAGGCTTGCTCTGGATTTGATTCCCCCCAGCCTTCAGGACTGCATCCTGCCAGTTTGATATAGTGCAATGCCAATTATTTCAGCTATGACATGTGAGGATGAAGTTGTGGGGGAGGAGGCTGACTAAGTCCCTGAGAAATCACAGTGGCCAGATCTTCAGGAGCTCTGAAGAAACTAATTCCCTTCAAAATCAATACTGCAATGTCACTGAGAAATCAAAGCAATGTACTCGAGTGAGAGCAGAGCTGAATATGCCCATGAACAAGTGTCCTGATCACACACACCATGGTGCCTGATCTCCTCTCCCTTGCAATATTGCAAGTCACAAAGAAATTAATTGCAGTCCACAGGGCGGTGCAATCATAAAGCATGAGTGACTCAGTGAAGAATCAGGGCCGATAAAAATACACTCCCAGTGATCGAAACATTCTTTGCCAGCCCATTCTTTTCCTCATCCATTTTTTTGTCTTCTCCTCTTCATGCTTAACTTCACTTCTCAGGCTTCCTAGCACTATGATTATTATTATCGCTATTATTATTATCATTGTTGCTTTGTGGGCTGAGAGTTGCAGATCTCAAAAATAAAGCAGATGTCAGCAGCTCTGAAGGATCCTATTCTATTACACAGCAGAACAAATGAGTATGTCAAGGAAGGGCTTTCCAATCTAACAAGAAAACAGCACAAATAGACACTAAATAAATAAATAAATAAACCCTGCGGGGACAGGCAGACTAGTTCTGATTAGATATTATGCTAACATGATGCCTACTTTCTACACTAACAGTGTTTTAATACATTTAAATGATACTGGGGAAATAAGTCATGAAATAGGAGAAGAAGTCTTCATGTCAGAAATGATTAAAATTATCCAAGGGGACCAGACTGCCTCTCCCATGGAAATGTGGCTCATGGTGTTGGATTATGAATGTAGCCCAAACAGTATTTACATAGTGTGCCTGACTCCATCTCATTACCTTTGCCAATGATTGCTTTTCCTGGCTGCTGGAAGAGCAGTCCAGCTGGTGAGGGGGAGCCCGGCATCAGTGTCTGCACCATGGCAGTCTCAGTCTCTGCTGAGGCTCTGGGATGCCTCTGGGTTTTATAGGGATATGTCACAGGGAAATGCCCAAGCCGTAAGAGGGACCAGAACCAGCTGCCACACTGGTGTCTCTGCTTTATTCTTACAGCAGGTGCAGGCCCACCTCCTACTTTCCTGCAAATGAACCATAAGCCAGGCTGAGCTTTTTGGGAAGGCATGATTCCAGACCCAGGCTACATTCCTTAAAGTAGCCCCTCTCCAAACTTTCTGAGCAGGGATAAAACCAAGCTTTGCCTGACCCAACCTGTAGCCTTTAATCTTTCTCTCCTCCCCCGCTACCTGCCCATGCTCCCCCATTTCACAAAAAGAGAGGTCTCTTTTTTCTTGAAGGATTTTCATAAAGACCCTGAATATACTTGTCAAGCTCTATGCAGCAATGTTAATTTTGCTTGTGAAACTGCAGCCTTAGAAGACCCTCCATCTCCTGAGTCTTTGCAGCCCTAGTAAATGGCCATTTATTAGCTGCAGTCCATAATTTGCTTCCTTCTGTGACCCATCTTTTAATTTTCCTTGAGATGACAATCTCTGAATGAACAGTGTACTCATTTTCCAGCTATAGCATATAAAATATGGATATGGTCATGAAATCTTGAATCCATGGAAAAAAAAGAAAATACTTTTCCTTTTAGGACCTAAGGCTCTAAGAATCCAGGACTTGGCTGGAGCCTCCATACCCTGCAAGCTGCAGTCTGCTCAGGCACAGAGCAGCGATACTAATCTCAATTACCAGTAACTTGATTCACTCTAGTACTCCGACAAATGAGCTTTGATGAGCCCCACAGTAGCAGTTTAAGAACTTCCCGGTGACCCTCCTCCCATTACTCCCTTTGCAGAATTGCCAGATGGGAATGTGCATCCTCCTGTGGCTCTGCCATGGCAAAGTTTGATGCATTAGCTTAAAAGCACTGAGACACCAGATGATGAACTGGAGCTGCTGAGACTTTCTGCCACAGGGGCAATAATTTGTGGCTGGTTGGAGGAGGTAGACAGCTGGATATGAAAATAGCCTAAACTGCCACAAAAAGACTGGCCAGTTCATCTGTCAACCCTAAGTGAGTGGTGAATCAAACTGCATTAGCTTCTGCTCAATACTGCAGAGCAGCAGTTGTCAGGAAGTTCATGCTCACTACACGGAGGGTGACAACTCACAACTAAGTCCTCATTCTAAGAGACTCTGGAGAAAGTGAGCAGTGGAGAGACCTTACCTAAGAAAACCAGAAAAGGACTTCAAGACAGCCTAATGTTTAACTTTATTTCTTTAAACCTGGACCCAGAATACAAGCAAACTATAGCAAGCAAGAGTGTTTACAGTCTAAAACCAGCTCAGATGTTTCATTTTTTCTGGAGCCAAGGACTCAGAGATGTCATGCTTTGTAAATGACCTATGGAGATTATAGCTACCACTAATCTGTGGAATAATTCCCTTGGGAACATTCTCCAAACACTGGGATCAGAGAATGACAGCATCAGCAGACCTGAGAGTGTGAGCTTATTTGGTTTAGCAGAGCACCATTAGTTACTGCTCTGTCCTAAACCACTTCATGGAGGTAGGCAAGGGACTGTTCTTCTGCATAAAAGCTCCTGACATCCGAGTCTTGATGAAGAAAGGCGTGAATTGGCTCATAGGATCATAGAATAGTTTGGGTTCAAATGGACCTTAAAGATCTCCTAGTTCCAATGTCCCCACCATGGAAAGGAACACCTTCCCTGGACTGGGTTGCTCAAAGCCCCATCCAACTTGACCCTGAACATTTACAGGGATGGGGCATCCACAACATCTCTGGGCAACCTGTGCCAGTGCCTTGCCACCCTCAGAGTAAAGAATTCCTTCCCAATAGCTAATCTAAACTTACCCTCTTTCATTTTGAAGCCATTTCCCCCTTGTCCTGTCACTACACACCCTGGAAAAAAGTCCCTTTCCAGTCATTCAGTGAGAGTTTCTTGGGGCAACAGGCACAGCTTGGCAGGGCTAAGAAAGGCTGCTGAAATGGAGCTACACAGAACTGAACATTTAAGTACAATATGCAGAAATGGAAACATCTTCCATCCCACACCCTTCAACATCAGGCACTCTTTACCTTCTAGAAATTCATATACTTGCTAAACCATATGGGCTTTCAAGTGCTTTACAGCATCCTACTACAACTCTAGTCTTATTAAAAATCTTGTCAGTAACTGTGAATGATGAAATTGTGCCCCATCAAAATGATGCAAGGTAGTTCATATCTCACAGAATTTTGACCTCAGTACTCTTCATGCACATTCATACTTCTCTGTGTCTAACACTCTCCAGGCACAGTTTCAAATTCATCTCAACACCATGAGGGCTAGAAGCACTTTTCTAAGGGGATGCTGTAATTTTACATAATCATGACTCCAGAAAAAAATCCAGACTCCCTAACCAGATATGTCTCATACTAATCCTGCAGACATGAACACAGAGGCCACAGAAGAAGTAAATTAGAATGTGAATTATAACATGAAATTTCCTAGACATGCAATTGCTTTGCTTTTTTTATTTCATCTTTAATTGAAGCCCTAAAGTGGACTTTTCTTGAGAAGACAAGCAGAAAATCTGGAACCTGAGAAGAATCTCAAGAAGCTGCCTTACAGATGTACCTATCTGAATTTATATGTATACATATATATAAGGAGTTACTCCCCTAGGATGTTTCAGGAGAGGTCCTAAAAGCATCAAGCGTTGTCATAGATTCAAATAGAAATAGTCTGAGTTCATGAGGGAATCTTGAAAAGATAACAGAGGTTATTTTATCCTTCAGGGAGGCTGTGTTCTTCGCTTGGACTGAGTCCCCTTCAAACAAGGGACTACCCAACTAGGTAGTTTGAGCATAGTTTATGATGAACAATAACAAATAACAGCATGGGGAAACAAAAGGGAAAATAGGGAGTCCAGCAGTGTTCAATGGACAAATTTCATATTGAGAAAGATATGAGGAAACATGTCCAAGAAGACGATACAAAACCAACTCTAGAGCCCAGACCAGAAGACAGAGTTCAAAACTGTGGGAATAGGAGAGGAACATCCAGCAGTTAGTGACCTAGTTGGTTTAAGTTCAAAGAGAATCTCAAAAATCAAGACACCAGTGCTACATAGCCGCAGTGAAATGGAGAAGGTGGTCAATGGAAATGTTTGAAGACACAGAAGACCCAACACCACCTTCCACATGCTCAGAACCAGAGAACCAAAGCTTTGGAAGTTGAGGGAGAAGCAGCTGTTGGAGGATGTTAAGCCTGCACAGGGATGGAGCCTAGGATATGGTATATGCCTCTGTGGGAAGCAAATGGCTTTTCAGACACCTGGCTGTATTCCCTGGAAACATTTTGATAGGAAAAACAATTTGTTAGGTCTGAATGACTTCTTGGAATAAATAAATTTTCCTCCTTTACCAGGAATGACCATCCAACTCACAGAAGCCAGTATAAAGCCAGCTACAGCTGCCCTAAGCTATTCAAGTAGAAATAAAATGGCCTTGAACACTCCACATGCTGGTGAAAACCTTCCTGCTCATTCCAGAAAATGCTGATACTGGCCATGGCTGGGGAAAAGACACCTAACTGGGCACATGGTACCTCCTCTGAGGCCATTCTTACCCTGCACATAAGGTAAGAATAGCATGGCAGCTTTTCTTCCCTGGTCAACTGGCCTAAGAAGTCCAGTAATGATCACTGGGTTTTGTTCTGCAAGTTGCTTCCAAGTGAAGAAAGGAAGACTGTGGGCTGGGGTGCTTGGCATCAATAGAGGGAGAAACATCTGCTTATGGAATGCAGGTGGCTGCAAAATCTTAATTTTTTTCTTTTTCTATTTTTTTTTTCTTTTTTATAGGAAAGAGCATTCCCCATGGCTACACACACAGACATCAGATTTAAAAATAGCCAAGTTCCACCTCGACTGTGGGTGAGTGAAAGACAGAAGACAGATGCATTGGCTGCCAGCTAGACTTGACATCTACTTTTTCTTTCCTCACCCTGGCAGCCAGCAGTTGCACACATGTGCACAGGTAAGGTCCTCAGTGGCAAAGCACACGGTGTCTGCCTCCCCCTCAATTCCCTGACTGCCGCCTGCCAGCTGTGCGTGTCTGAGAGCCACATGAACCCACACTCCCCATTTAGTGCATCAGGCATGTATAAAAATCACCAAGCTCCTCCTATTTGTCCTACTTAATTCACAAATTCCTCACTAGTCATTTATGTGTGGGGATTGCTGTCGAGTTCTTTGCAAAGGTTAACACATCTCTGTTTCTGGCTTGTTTTGTTAACTCCTTTAGTGCTTGATCCACATGGACACTTTCCATGGCTCCAACCTATATAATGATTCTGTGTGCTTGTGCATGACAGGTCTCACTTTCCGATCCTGGCCCAAGTCAATTAAAGGTGATCAGTTTCAAGGAACAGGTCTTTCTTCCTTCCTCTTACCCAGACTACAGGAGATTCCTCCTCTTTTTCTTAACTGGCTTTAATCCACCCACTGTTTATGCCTCCAACAAAATTCATTCATTGAAAACATAAGGCACTACTGCCCACATACTCAATGCTACTCTTCATGTGCTCATCAGCAATAGAAGCCACAGTAATTCATCAAACTTGGCTATTTTATTTGCAAACATGTTTACAAGCATCTATTTATTCATTTACCTAAATCACATGGCTCACAGAGAAGCCCTTTCCATAGGAAATTATGGATGTTGAAAAGTCACATGCATTCAAACCACAACTTGACAAATTCAGAAAAGGAAAATTCATCCAGTGCATTAAATTATAATTAAGTGGATGTCAGGGAACTACTTGAGGGCACTATCACTGTAGATTTATGTTATTCTTACAGGTTTCCCTCTTTGGTAATGCTGCAAACAAGATAGCTTTGGTCTAATCCACTGTGGACATTCTTAGGTTTTCACATGTGTTTTCTATAATTTGGTTGTGATATAATTTCCCAATAAACCTGTTCCAGGAGCATCCAGGCTGCATTAGGGTCTTACAAACATATTGTAGAGCACAGTATTTCTTTTTCTACATTCAAAGCTTGGCATGCTAAGCATCACATTTCTGGTCTAGGAAGATGGACAGGAAGAACAGAAAATATCCCATTATCAGAACAACCTTAGAAATATAACAAACTTGGTCTTTTCTGCATAATGACAAGGCATTGAATTTTGTTCAGTTTAGCAAAAAGAAGGCTGCAGAATTGATATGGCCACTACTAATGAATACTGACCTAGGAAGGACCAACAGATGTCTGGGTTTACTCAGGCATGTCTTCTCTTTCTGTCTGAAATGTTCGCCCAGGTGGAATTTTCCCATTTGTCCAGAATTTCCAGACATTTGACCTGAGCAGCAGCAGTAACTGTAGCTATGCTCTGCATGACCAGAAAGTCCAAGCTAATAACTGGTGTATGCAGGCATATCAGCAGTACAGCACACATGCACATACCTGTTTACAAAATCCCACCTAAACCTGATAACATAATAAAAGAGAACTCTTAATCCAGGGGCCAAAATATAAGAAAATCCCACAGCTGGATGCTGAAGGTGTGCACACTCATTTTTCACATCAGTGTTTTCAACAGTGGGGAGAAACAGCTGGTGAAGTAACTTTCCAGGCATCATTGGGAATCCTCCACCACCATTAATGTTTAAACCGTGAACGGGTATTATTTCTGAAAAATGTTCATAAAGGAAATGAAGAGGTAAGTAATGTAGCCTTCAACCTGTGGGAGATGCTCACAGTTGTCCCTTCTGCCTTTAAAAACTCCTCTTCATCCTCCATTTCTCAAAATACCCTTCTCTCAGGAGATCTATGAATACTCACTGACACCACAAGGAATATCTTGTGATCATTGTAGAAGTCAAGACAATGTGGCAGTGAAGGGGCATGACCACCTTCATGAGCACACCTGGCACACACAGTGGCAGCTGGATCTTAATGCCATGTCTTCTCTAGTCAAACAAGCAAAAGAAAAGATTGGAAGTGGAAACCAAGAGACATATGCCAAAGGCTGCAATCAGACAAAAAAGAATAGGGTTTTGTCCAAAAGCATATATGTCATCTGGAGACCACTGGTTTAAACATAGCAGCCACTCCCAGGGAAGTCACACTCATATTTGTGATGGAGCAGCAGAAGGCCCTGCCTGTCCCACAAACACTGGCAGACCTCAGCCAGGGTGAACTCACATCCAGACCTGGTGGCCGTGGTACCTCTGTTCATGGTAAACCATCCATGAACCTCTGTTCATGGGACACTATTTTTTTCCCCTTACCCAGTTGCAGGCTGCTCCTGCCAGCAGCCTCAAAACTCCTGACCTGTTCTTAAAACAGCCTCAGAGAAAGTAAACATGACCAATAGAAAAACAAAAAATATCACCCAAATGTCTAAGGGAACCATGAGCAACATCCAGCACAGATTTTTCAAAAGGACAAGGATTTTCATGGCTCAGTGTTCTAATTTGTTTGACCATTTATTTCCAAGGAACACATCCAAGAGTGACAAGCTCCATTTATTTCAATGGGCAGCATATGCCAGCAACGTGAATGGCGTACGCTATAAAAGAGAATGGATGTTCTCAAGCATCATAGAAAGCTGTCCTTTCAGCAGACAGAGGACATGTAGGTAATGGAAGTGCAGCTCTGCTCTGACAAGCAACACCATAAAAGCAGCATCCTGGGTTCTCATGTTTGATGTCTCCCCACGACAGACCTGAGAGATTTGTTCAAGCTAAAAGTGAAAAAGTTTTGCCCAATATATAATATCTGGCCCAGTGCTGGAAAAAGCAGTTGGATTCTTTCATTGTTCTACTTTTCCAGACCAGAAGGACATCTCCTTAGGACATATAGCCACTTCAGGGTGTTAGTGCTTCACCCTTTTAGGCTTTCAGGGGCTACACACCAAACCAGACTATTCTCACAAATAGCATCACCTTCAAATCATTGCATAATATGAATATGCTATGTTCACACAAGAAAGTGCCCTCTTTACATAAAATGCCATTACATGGCAGCACTGTTTTCAGTCTTGTCTCTTTGTACTACATCCTGAAGACAATCCTCTAGTGAATCTTGCCTTTCCAAAGTCTGATACCCCTGAAGCCTGAAAAACCATGAGTTGTGAGTGTCTGTCACAAATTCAGTACTACCTATGACTTGATATTGTTTGGTGGCCTGTGACACTTTACTGTAAGTCTCACAGGAGTGGGCAACTTTTATTGGCTATCATTAATTAATTAACTAATATTAGTTCTGTGTTAGGACTTACCTAGGGAGCAGTCTAGATCAAATGGTTTTATTGGCTTGTCAGCAAGCCCTGGAAGTCAAAATAGAATGATTCTCGTTTTGCTTTTCAGTGAGATGGCCCCAACAAAGGTTGGGTGTGGCTTTGTTCATACCAAGTCCTTCTCTGGACACCTTTCATTCTCATGAAACTTAAGAGGTTTCTGGGAAGGAGCAGTGTGAGCTGTAGTTCTGTCCACAGGAAACCACTTCCCCTTCTCCTGTACCTCCAGCCAGGCAACATCTCAAGCCAGGTAAAGAATAGATGTTCATGACTCCCTTACAGCCCTCCAGCATGGCAAAATGAAATCCCAAATTCTCCTTCACTAGATTCACTTGCCTGTGCTGCAAGGCTCACTATCCTGGATTTAGTCTGCAGTAAGGCCATAGCCATATAACACCCCTGGATGCCCATTGTACAGTTTGGAGACCCTTGTTGTGCCACTGTTCTTCCTATTCACTTTCTCTTCAGCAGGTGCAGCTTGTAGGTTGGAGTTTCATCTTTTATGGAGAAGCTAAATCAGTGCTGTTCATGCCAATGAGGGCATCTTTGATTCCCTCTTAGTGGGAATCTTAGCTTGCCTTGATGCCAGTGAAGTGCTTGCTTAGTGAAGAGGCCAAGCATAGATTTGTGGCTGGCTCTGTGTGTATTTGGGTATATAAATCATAAGGTGGCTTTGCATCTATGCAACTTCCTTTGGGACCATGCTTATTGCCAACACGTAGGTCTCCACTTGCTGTGAGCTATTTCCTAGGGAAAAGACAAATAGAGCTTGAGAAAGATCTATAGTCATCCTTCCTTTGTCAAAGTGGAACTTTTAGTTTCCATCCACTTTTCTCCCTCAATTTCTGATTGTTTCAAGTGACTTCCATGCCTGGGCCAGTGGGCCCCATGCATGTTGAGCTCTCAAAACCAGCCTCTTGCTCCAGGTGTGAGTGGTGAGAGACAGGAGAGCTCACTGCTATGAGAATTTGGTTTTGCTTCTGGGCTTTAGGGCTTTATTTGGTTAAAGAAGAGCCAGGCTGTCAGCTCCAGCATTTCTGACCATCTTTTTAAGGCTAAAGATACAGACTACACCCTGTGTCTTGCAGTTGATGTCAGAATATTTGCAGTATCCTAGCAGAGAGGCTTGGGAAGACACCCTAGGCCTGGCATGCCCAGGGCAAACTGGGATCCTCTAGATTTAACATATCTGGTAGTGGAGAAGTGGGGTAATCAAATCCCAGGGGCAGTAATCAGTGTTTTATGAGGTGTCAAAAATGTCCATCATAACTGAACAGCACTGTGAAGCAACTGTTTGGTCTTTTCCTGAAAATTAAAACTAAAAAGCAAGCCATATGATGACAGCATCTGTAGCAGAGAGCAGGGTGGCTTGCATGAATTAGCAGCTTCCTGGCTGTTATCTGTGGCAGCCTTAGCCAGCTACTTATTCCATCACCTGCAGCTTCTGTGGGCTGAGGCCTCAGACTTACACCTTGGGGAGCACTGCAAGCCAAAGCCCCCAGCACTGAGCCACAGTCAAAAAAGAGCTGGAGAAGGTCTTCTCCACAGCTTTCTCATTGAAGTCTGGGATCATGGTCATTTAATGGAATGGGATCTTGGATCTTGGAATGTGGAGCACAGTGACCTTGAACGGCTCAGATCCTGATCTCCAAAGAGCATCTGTGAAGGTTACCAGTAAGGTGGGCTGACTGGGGATGTGCCACAGCTTCAGTGACCTGCATCTGAATCTTCCTGGCATGTCCCACTGCAGGCAAGGATAGCTTAGCCAAGAATCTCCAGAAGCCCTGTTTAGCTCACGTTGGATATCCATGGAACCAGTGTCAGTTTGTGGGGTCAGAGCAAGTGATAGCCTCCTGCTGCCTTGGAGACTTCCTATGGGTAGGAGAAGAGAGATAAATCCCCAAATTTCCTGGGAGAAGTGCTCATTAGGATCCACTTTCAGGCATTTCTTTTCCTAATGGGCCAGGTGTCATGCAGGGGGGTTATATTCTGTGCAACAGTATCCACCATTAAAAAAAAAAAAATTAAATAGACAAAACTCAAAATTACTCAGGTATGCTACTCATTCTTGTTATGGTCCTGTAAATCATATCAAGTGCAGAACGTCTCCCCTTTCAGAGATCTTCCAGCCTGTTGCATATGGATGACCCTCAGGGATCCCTGCAAGTGTCTTCCTGCCACCTCTCCCCCATGCTTTTTGCTGATGGGACCCAGAACTACCCACTGAGCTGCTGGTGAGCAGCAGAATCAGTTCTGCTCTGTCTTACCCATGCCTCCTGCTGTCCGTTTTTGGGGGCTTCAGAGGGAGCCTACCAATACAGGCTCCTGGCACAGAAAAGTCCCCATGAAAGAAGATGATTACACCCAGAAAAGTGGCTATGGCACCCATTTGAAGGGATCTGCAGGGAGGGCGATGGGGATCAGAGCAGAGAAGGCACTGCCATCTGGCAGGGGCTGGAGCAGGGTGACAGCAAGAGGAGTCATTTTGGTCACAGGCATCCCCTGACTCAGGCAATAAGAGGCCTGGCTTCTTCCAGCCCCTTGAGAGCAGAAAAGCCACAGACTCATGGCTGACTCCCTCGCCTCATTGTCTGCGCACTGGAGCAGGGAGGGCAGGAGGCAGAGGGAGTGCGGGAGCCTTTCTGTCCCCCTGGCTCTGACAGGTCCATGCCTGCCACACACTGGGATTGGGGGTGGGTGGGAGACAGAGCAGGGGGACCACCGAAATAAAAGAACTAAGAAACCAGTCTGATGATTCTCCACAAGCTTGGTATACATGATGCAAATTGATGTTTAAAGCTTATTTATTATCTTACATGTGAAATGCCAGCGGTGTTTTTCTAGATCAATGGGTATCCAATATTTGGGCGGGGGGAGACGACGGCAGTGGGAGCAAGCACGGCTAGAGACTGTATATCCAGAGGCTAGGGTTTATATCATGGGCTGCTCTCGACTGTTATAATTTGTGGCACAGATTCAGCGAGAATCTGATCTGCTGAAAATATTTGGGCTGTGAAAACTCCCACACTGTGACAGATGTCAAGTCCAATTAAGTGACTCGTGTCCAGGTTTCTGTCCAATAGGCTTTCCCATTAAATACCAATTTAAGAGGGAAAAAATGCCGCCCCCTTTTCTCCAAGCCTTTATCTCTTCCGACCATCTCTAGGCGAAACCCTTTGGTACCAGAAGTGGAGCCACACGCATCTCTGCTCCGTCTGTCTGTCTCGCCCCTGCCACCTTCCGCACCCCTCCTTGGCTTCTTTGCCACTCCGGGAGGGGTGGGAGGAGGAACTGCACTTTCTTTTTATGCATGTGAGCGTACCTTGTCCTGCACCGCCGTTATCTCTCACAGCCGCTCCGAAGCCGCGCCGAGATTTTCGTTTATTTCGTTTTGTTTTTCTTTTTCAGCGTTCGTATATTTTCCTTTATTTTTCACTCGAAAGATGCAGGAGGAGTTAGGAAGCTCAGGGACGGATGGGGGTTTCGTTTATCTTTTTTTTTTCTCCCCTCGCCAGTTCTTGAAGGACCAGAAGAAGAACTAAACCAAACATTCATTTTCCGACGGCGTCTCCCCCGCTTCTGCCCCTCTCCGCCGGACCGGTGAATTAACAAAACCTCACATTACAACCCCCACCCCCCCCCCAAAAAAAAAAAAAAAGAAAAAGAAAAAAAAAAAGAATAGAGAAGAAAAGAGCGAGCGACGCATTGTTACCCCGACCCGCGGCGTGCCTGTGAGCCGGGCCGCGGCGGAACAAAGCCGGCAGCGCCGCGCCGGGCTCCGCGCCCCGGGCTCCGCGCCCCGGGCCCCGCGACCGGCCCGGGAGCGGCGGGGCTGCCGCAGGGAAGGAGAGGCTGAGGGGGCGGGAGAGAGGGAATAATCCCGGACGGTGCCGGTGCTGTCGCCGCATCCCTTTTGTTATTTATCGCGGTCGGGAAAGAGGAGGAAGAAAAGCGGGGGAGAGGGCACTTTCCTCCTCTAAAACCGACCGGCCAAAGCCGCCAGTGCGCTGAAGCCGCTGCCCCGGACAAGCGGGCAGAGGAGGACTTTGATGGGGAAAAGCTTTTCCTCCCCTGATGCATCGTAAGTAACTTAAGTTGTTATTTATACTCCGCAAACAAACACGACAGTATAACATCTCCCATCTCTGGAGCGCTGGAGGCCGCGGCGAGGGATGAGATCTGCCTTTCCCTGTTCGAGCAGGACACTTTTTCGCTCGTAATTAATTTTATTTGATTTTGGTTTTTTAATTTTTCCATGCTCCGCTCCCGAAGGGTCATTTGAACTGTAAAGGAATCGCCGAGGGGGCGAGGGGACTTGGAGAGAGAGGATATCCAAACGACTCCACTGAGGTAAGCAGCCTTAACCATATCTTTCCATTTTGCAGGTAGCAGGGGGCATGGGTTTACTGTAATAATAATAATAATAATAATAAATAATAATAGTAATAATTTTTTTTTTTAAATAGAGGGGACGGGTGGGGGTAAGGAGGGGAAGAGCGTCTTTCTGGATCAGCTCGCCAAACCCCACCGTACAGATAAATCCAAATCAAAGCAAAAATTCAACACCGGTAGGAGAAACCTCTAAGCAACTTTCTTCAGGAACCACCGCTTTAATCGCCCGTTTTCGTACAATCACCCTGCAAATCCTGTCTCTCTAGCGTGCTTTTTGTATAAGCCCCCTCGCTTGGATGCCAGCTGAAAGGTGATTTTAAACCTTTCCTCTGTATCTTTTCGCCCCACGAGACCTGATACCTGACTTGCGCACTAATGTTTTTTTTTTCCCCTACCCCTGCCTTGTGGGCCTGATTAACGCTCCTTATTAAAAATCGAAGAGGAAGCGTTTCCGACGGCCCTGGCCCTTTCCCAAAGAAGAAAGAGCTCTTCTCTCCCACTCCCCAGTCCTGAGCCTCGGCCCTCGGCGGAGCCCCTCTGCCCCGCCACGCGTGCCTCGCGGCTCACCCCGTTGTGGGGCGGCTTGGCTCTAGCCCTGACTGGGAAGAATTCCTCCTGCCCATGTGGTTGTTATTATTATTACTGTTAAAAATAATAATAATGATAATAGTTTATTTTTCTCAACCGGGTGTGAGGCCCGACTGGGACTTTCCCTGGAAACTTTATGTGGAAATACTTCTCACTCTTAATTCGGGGGAAGGGAGGATGCGATGTTCCCTCCTCCACTGGGCTCGCTCCCCACCTCGCTCGACACCCCAGCTGCACACACGCACGCACACACACACATACATTTGTGTCCAAGGTTATTCACTAGTTGCCTGATGTATTGTTTTATTACATGCCGGCATGTCCACGGACGCGCTCGGATTTGTATTGCTGTCTACATGACAGATGGTGCTCTGTGAGGCCGCAAGAAGATACGATTCAATTTTCTTTTGAAAGGCACGTCCGCATTTATTTATTTATTTATTTAGCCTCCCCCTCTTTTCGCGCAGGGAGGGGAGAGGAGGGAAAATTTAAAGGGACGGAAAAGTTCGGCCTCTGCTTTGAGTTTTTGTTTATTTTTGAATCCGACGCTTAGGAAACGGAAACTCACCCAAATATTCCCAATTGATCACTAGCAAATCGCTGTCTGCATGATTAGCAGCAGGAATGGAAAGAAAGCAAAAGAAAAAAAAGAAGTAGCACAGAGAAAAGAGCGGAGGGGAGAGCCTAGCAGATACATCGAATCCCGTAGGGATTGGGGAAATAAATCTCCCCACTGGCCTTGTTATATTTGTGTATCCTTGAGATGTGTATTTAAAAGTATCATGTCTGTAGCCTGGATCCCATAGAGCGTTTCCGAAAGAGAAACAGTTAAGCAGAAACTGGCAGGCTAGAAAGGACAATATTAAAACTGGGGGCCTGGACGGGGAGGGGAGCGGGGAATCACCATATTATTGAAACGCTGGATATTAGCTTGCTTGAAAAAAAAAAAAAAAAATCTATTGCTCTCTGGGCTTCTTTCAACACCCAAGGAAGCGCAGGCAATAACGGCAGGAAGTATATTCCAGAGAAGCTGCTGTCAAACGCTAGAGAAGGGATGGTTAAATGACGGGGTATCGTTTATTCCCGCTATTGCTCTCATTAGTACTCCCTGAAGGAGCCGCAACTCGTCCACCCGGCTCTCCCCCTGCCGCGGTCGGGCGGTACCGGCGCCGGTGGCAGGGCGCGGGGACCGACATGTCCCTCGTGTCCTGCCCGTATCCCTGCTCCCCGCCTTGCCCCTGTATCCCGGGGCCGGGGCCCTGACCCGCTCTCTCTGCTTCTCTGTCTCGGGAAGGCTCCTCCGCCCCCTCCAAGATGATGCTTAGCCCGGACCAAGCTGCCGACTCCGACCACCCCTCCTCGGCGCCCTCCGACCCGGAGTCCCTGGGCGGCGCGGACGCCCAGGCGCTCAGCTGCTGCGTCTCCGACCCGGAGCCCGCCGAGGGCGGCGGCGGCGAGGGCCGGGGCGGCGGCGGCGGCGGCGGGGAGGGCCGCGGCGGGGGCCGGCCCGGGCTGCACCCGCCGCCGCTGAGCCGGGAGGAGAAGCGCCGGCGGCGCCGCGCCACGGCCAAGTACCGCTCGGCCCACGCCACGCGTGAGCGGATCCGCGTGGAGGCCTTCAACCTGGCCTTCGCCGAGCTGCGCAAGCTGCTGCCCACCCTGCCCCCCGACAAGAAGCTCTCCAAGATCGAGATCCTGCGCCTCGCCATCTGCTATATCTCCTATCTCAACCACGTGCTGGACGTGTAGCGCCCGACGGACGCCCGGAGCCCCGGGACCCCCAGTCCCGCCGCCCCGGGTCCGGCCGCGGCGGGCAGCGCCTTCCCCGGGGCGGGCGGCGGGGCGGGGGGTCCCTGCTGCTTGTGCTCCCCCGCGGAGCGCTCCCGCCCGGTCGAGAGCCCGCTTTCCGAAGAGAAGTGTAAAACCGGATTGTCTCTTCAGGCTGTCAAGTGCCCCTTTATATATATCCAAAAACATCTACTTGTGACCTTAAACGTGTGACCCATGGGTGCAGTTAAAAATAACTATTTTTTATTTATGGTAGAAGGAGTTGACAATTTATTTTTTTCAAGATTTATTTATTTTTCAGAGTGGTGGCAATTTTACTTTGGATACTTCGTGCCAATTGGTTTCTATAGTCGGGTGTTTACACTTTCTCCTGTGGAATATTATGTTTGACTTTATGAGTGTTTGTTGGGATCAATACAGTGTTAATTTTATTTTCTTTTTAATTTATTTTTTCCCTCCAATTATATTGCACTTGTGTACCACAACCCCCCCTCCCCTCCCTGTTTATAAGTATATTTTATATATATCAAGGAATTTGTTCTTGACCTTTTTTCTTTTTTTCCTTGTGTGGGATCAACAACCACTAGCACTTAACTAGGAGAGGTTTTTTTAAAAAAACTTGTTGTTATTCTGATCTATAGTTGCGTCTGAAGAGTACTTTGAAAATCGTTTATAAGGGAAGTAGTTTCTTTGTGGATGTATATGTGCGTGTGTGTACACATGCATGTGTGTGGGAGTGAGCGTGGGTGTGTATGTGTGTGGTATATTTTTAGGAAAGGACATTTTTTTCCTAAAAAAAAAGAAAAAAAAAGAAAGAAAAGTAAATCCAGGACTGCTTTCCTTTGTGACAACCAAAAAAATTCTATAACCTGAAAATGTTTCATGTTCTTTGCTGTGAATCTCTTAAAACAAGAAGCGCATTTTAGGGACAAAAGAGAAAAAGAAAAAAAACACATCTGCTATCCAAAGATTTTAGTCTTTTTCAGGGTTTTTTTGTGTGTCTATGTTGCTTTATATAATGCAATATTTTGTAGTGAAAATAGATAAATCTGGTTTCTATCTGATGCGTTTTTCATATCTCTCATGAATGGTGAGCTGTTTTGCATATAAATAAAAGTATCAAATAAAAGCTGTTTTTTCCTAATTATTTTTCCCTGTTGGTCCTTCTGTAAGACAGACATGAGATGTCCTTATGAATAAGGATTGCAAAGGCTTCTCAAGTGTGTGGGAAGCTTCAACAGGTTACCTGCCTCTTCCTAGTGAGACTCGGACTGCAGTCCCTCCACCACAGCTCCCCTGCTCCCGCCGCTCTCAGCTGGCTGCCCTGCCCAAATGCAAAGGAGACACAGAACCCTCGTTGTCACTTTCTCCCAGTCTCATCATGACTGGCATCTGGTCACATGTCCCAAAGTTCAAGCTGTACAATTCAATCTGATGCTTGCAAGCACCTGTTTTGCTACCTGACTCTTGGAAATGTCTGGCTTTGCCACCCAAATGTATGTGTCGTGTCCTGCCTGAGTTCACTGGGTTTTCTTTCTCTTGTTTAAATTCAGCTTTGATCCCTCTCTGGCCAGGTCTTATTCTACTGAAACCAAAGAAAAATCTTGTGCCCTTTCCCTACTTTAGAAAACCTCAATCATTATCTTTCATACAAGGCTTCAATTGCCAAATCTTGTCATTTGTAACATGGAACAGATACTACAGACTCAATGGCAGACAGGTTATTACCTGAGTAATGTGAGACTGTCTCATTTATTAAACCCTTTCTTTGTTTCCCACAAGGGGTTAATTTTACCTATCATTTGAATACTGCCATTGACTCTGGTGGCTGCATCATCCATTCTTACTCGCTGGAGAGATAAAACCCTCCCCTCTATCCCATTTTTATGGCTGCCACTTTGCATAGCGATTTAATTAAGTGTGGTCTTGACCAGCTGAAAAGCTCCATGCAGAAAACCTGTCAGAGAGACGGTTAATTCCATTTCCTACAAATACATGCTTGCCATGTCCCAAGGGAGTACACACTGGTTTGGTAGTTCAATGCACAGGTTTCAAATCCTGCATTTCAGGGCTGAAATAACTCCACCAACTTTAGTGTTGGCTTCCTTTGGGACAGGTTTGTTTCTTAGGTTCAATATCAGGGCACTGTGTGGAGTTCGATGTAATTGCCTGAGTGATATAAATCCTGCCATCCAAAAAGCTTTCATGCTACCAGCATTTGGGAGGACTTAGTTAATAAAAAGATAAACCTATTATTTCCTTCTTAACCATTGGGAATGCCTATTTTAGGGGAAGAGAGTGCTCTGCAACACCTGATGGCTACAGTCACTAGCAGTTGTAGGTGTCAACCCCACATTCCCCCTGGCCTCACTTCCCCTTCTGGGGGTCTCACACACGTGTCAGAGGCACAGGTTGAGATAATGTTTGAGCCTCAGGTTCCCAGCCACATGATCCTGTGCCCAAGTGATAAGCCAGAAAGGCTGCTGTCTGTGTTGTGAGCAAAGAGGAGCACAGCGTGGAGATGTGTGGAAACAGGCTCAGGAAGTCAGAAAATCTGTGGGCTTTTCCATTCTTACCATCCCTGAGACAGCAGAGAGCCTGACTGCACTCAGACACAGAGCAGCAAGGGCTTTGCTTTTGGTGATATCCAAAGGGTCAGATCTCAAGTTTAACCTGCAAAAGGGTCAGGGCACTTAACCTGAAGAGATGTGCTTTTCTTCCTGAGTTTTATCTGATGGAAGAAATTGCTTTTTCCTACAAGTCCTGTCTCACTTTCATATACTCAACACCCTGTTTAAATCCTGTCCCCACCATAACATCACCCCAACTACTTCTATTTTTCCTGTTGGCAACAAGAAGGAAGCTCATTCTCATCTAGCAGTTGATGAGTGTTGAAAACAGAATGTAGGTTTTGCTCCCACATTCCACACCTTTTTTTTTATTCTTAAGGAGCTGAGTAGTATGCACAAGCTACAAGGCCCATGCAAAAAACAAGGCTGCATTGCTAAGTGCTCAGAAGTCTGGATTTATGAAGAATGGGTAAACAAATTTAACTCCATCTCATTGCAAGTCTGGGTTAGATAGCAATAAAGTATAATTATATAATCAAAGTTTGCCTATGTCTATGTTCCCTCAGCAATAAAGGAGTGAATGACCTTGAATAACAATGCTATAGGAAGAATGGGGTTGGAACTGCTGAATGGAAGTTTATGTCACACTCAGCCATTACAAAAACTGGAAGGGAAGAGACACAGTTAATATTTCCTTGTATTTTAGCTACATTCAGATACCTTTCTTTCACAACTGAAGAGAAGCTCATTCTACAGACCATGAAAGAAAGTGCACTCAAAGACAGTGAAGGCAGAGCACTACCTCTGGACCCTTAGCTGACTCTAAAAGAGGGACTTTAGGCCTGAACTGAATACCATATATAAAACATTGAATGGAAACCTCCAGCATTCACAGAGAGCAAGTAGCTCTAACAGATAAACCTAGAATATCCTAGTACAAGGGATATCCAATGCATGCTAACATTGGGCTATAACACCTATTAAAGACACATTTTCAGGCCTATATAGACTCACAGGGACACGGTGCAGTACACACTAACATGGTATCATTAGGAAGCAGGGCAGATAATGCATTCATCTGAACCCTGGGAACAGATCCTGACCCTGATACAGCAAACAAGGACAGACAGCAAGCCAAAAGTAACTCCTCCAAATAAACATAATGGTTTTGACAGGACTGTACAGCTAAAGGGGAACTGTATCTCAGTATCATACAGTTTCCTAAAAGATCAAAAGATCTCAAGCACAAAATATTCCAAAATATAGACTTGAATTCATGCTGCTATTACATATGCACATACAAAAGGAAGAATTTCTATGCATAGACCATCACTGTCAGCAAAGTTCATGGTACTGTGCATTCAGGATCACATTACTCTCCAGCCAAAAGTGGTGTCTTACTGTTTGTGTTAAAAAGTGTTTGAACCAGGTAGGATATGACCACTGATACTTACAGCAGATAAATTCTGAGGGTCTTGGATGTGATTTGATATCTTTATTGTACTTCTAGCAAAGGGAATGTGTGTGTGTTTGAGAAGAGATGGGGGGTGGGGAGGTGAAGAGGATATTGTATATGAAACTCAACAAAGAAATTGATCTTTCCCATTATATAGCTGTGAAGAAAGAGCAGAGACATTCTATCTATCTCTTCACATATCTATCCATCTAGCCATCCTGTAACCCAATTAACCCAGTTCTTTTAGGGTGAATAAATGTGTTCTAATATCAGCCATTATTTTTCAGTACTCTCAGTTTATTCTCCAGGGTGGGACAGATCAATAACCACAATAGCAACCGACCCAAAAGGAAAAGGCAATCTCCTGGCGCTTCTTATTTATTTCTTCAGAGCCGATTTCGTTTTTTCTGCCTCTTCCCCTGGTGACGGATTTTGCCTTTCCTGCCCAGAATGGCCGTGTTGTTTTATCCTGAGCTCTATTTGCATGTGAGCTTCAGATTCATCTTTGGCTCCTTGCACCGTTTGGGATGAGACCCTCCTGTCCCCAGAGAGGGGGGCAGGTGTTGCTCCAGTCGAGCGAATGGAACCAAATTACAGGACCGTCTGTCGCCTCCTCTGGGAGCCGGCAGAGGGAGGGGAGGAAGGGGAGGGGAGCGGGATGCCGTACGACAGAAAAGAAAAGCAGAACATCATACTGATGCCGATAAGAGCTTGAAAACACGAGTCACCCCAGCCCACAGCCCCACCCAAAACCATGCAGCAGACACCTGAAAGAGAAATGTCAGGAGCAGAGACAGAAATAAATTGAGTCACTGGGCTGGAATAACTCAGGCTCAAAATGAAAGAGAACTCAGACCCTGTCCACTTTCAGACACAAGTGCAGGCACAAAGTTGCTGTTTTTCTCAGCTTACGGCTGTGCCCTTTGAATGTCACCTCCTCTGTTCTTCCAGAGCAGGCTCCTCTGCCCACCACTGCTGTCCACCAAGTCCTCACAGCCCAGGTCTCACAGCTGCTCCTGCACCCCTCCCCTTCCCACAGCCACCCTGCCCTTCAAGGTCCCTGAGAGAGAGGCACAGCTATGCAGAGGTGGTTCTGCTCCTCTGCCACCCCAGCAGCCCATGTCCTGCAGTGGAGCCAGTCCTTGCTCTCACAGGGAGCTGCTTGGTGCCCACTTCTCATCCATGCAGACTTCTACTCGACTGATCTGAGAGAGGTGATGTTACAGAACTTACACTTCTCAAACTCACTTATTTGCTTAAGGCATTCCTAGCAAATGAATAAAAGACCCCCATCTATTCCACCTCAACCCCTACCTTGTTTTTGCATCCCTAACTTTCCTAGATATGAGGGCACACAGATATTGATGTATACAATGATTGCTCTCAGAGTGGCTGGGCATGGAGTCACTTAAAAAGCAACAGATGACAGTTGTTCTGCTGTTCCTCACTAAAACAAGATCAGAGAAGAAATTTGGGGAGAATTCAGAGGAGATTCAGAAGAAAATATGAAAAAGGGTGCCATTAGGAGTACTTAAATCAAAGAAAAAGCAGCATGGAATGAATTAATGGCAGAACCCAGGTCACATAGGTGGAGGAGCCTCATCAATCAGTGTCTGGGCATAACATAAAGGATTTTCCATGAGGGTGGTGGGATGTACATATGAACCTGAGGCCTACGCCAGGGCATAATGAGGAACAAAAGGCATCCGAAAAGGCAGGCAGCAAACATAGGAAGAGATAGCAGCAGGAAGTGTGAGAAAGAAGGATATGAGCAGCTGGGTAGAGCTGCTGGTATGGGATTGCTGAATGGGCAGAAGATGCTCCAGCAAAGTCAGAAGGAGCAGCTTGCTCGGGGGTTAAAAGCAAGTTCAGTCCAGGAACAGACAGGAACCAGGCACCAAGAGAACTGTAAGGAGTTGTTAACCAGACATTCAAAGCTACTTAGGAGAGATCACCACAACTATAGGCCAGAGGGATGGACTGGCACAGTAACATTTTTTCAAGGACCAAAAGACAAGAGGTTTGTCATATAACATCTATCCTCCAGAGAAATCCTCTGTCTACTTGTTTAAAACAATTCTCTGCCTAGAAGTGGCAGAAAGATTTGCAAACCCTAGG